GGCGCAGGAAGTCAGAGGCTGTCGCTGCTCCCGGGACAGGGGAGCCCACTCTGAGGAGCGCGGGCCGGCGCGGGGTGGATGTCGACGGGCCCTTCCCGGCACCCCCAGCGGGGCCGGCAGCGGCAGCCTAGGCGCTGGGGCCGGGCAAGGAGGGCGGCAGGCCTGGACCACCCTGCGCCCGGCCGAGGGGACAGCCCTGCAGCGGGTGTGGCCCGAGGGACACGTGGGTGGGCAGGCGAGGCGCTCCTGTGCGTGGCCTGGAGAGCGGGGGCCGGCGCAAGCGGGGTGGCGACGAGAGAGGCCTCTGCACCCAGCGCAAGCAGGTCCAGAAGGGGGCAGAGGCACAGCTCCCTGGGCCAGGCTCAGGCGGGGGAGGGCACAGGGAGGCTGGCAGCGCCTGGAGGTGCCCCCAGGGGGTCCGCGGTTCCAGGGGCGAAGCCGGAAGCCAGCATCCCCTCGCAGGTCACAGGCCAGCTCAGCAGAGACCCGGCTCCGGAAGTCCAAGACAGAGAGCGGACAGGGCCAGGCCCCAGAGGACCCTCGGTCACTGACCAGTTGCTGAAGCCCGGCCCGCATCTGCCCTCCCCACTGCCCTCCCCAGCACCTTCCAGCTTGGGGGGAGGGGCTGCTGCTCCAGCTGAGCCTCCTTCTCCAGAAAAGGGAAAAACCCAGGGCCTCTCTGGCTGGGCGCCAACCTCGCCTCCGCCTGTCTTCCCTAAAAGGGGCTGGTGGGGCTGCCATTCCCCAGCGCCTCAGGAATCTCCCACCTCTGGACTGGGGGTGGGGAGCTGCAGGGCGGGGCCACGGCCGGCCTGGCGCCCTCCAGGCCCGGCTCCTCCAGCTCTCGGCCCCCAAGCCTCTCTGTGCCCCTGACCCTGCTCCCAGCAGCCCAGGCCGCCCTCCTCAGGCCCACTGGGCCTGGGCCACTGGCTACAGCCACCCTTGCTGACCCCACTGGGCTTCAGGCCACCCCAAGCCCCCACACACCTTCCACCTTGAGCGCGTCCCAGGCGTGGCCCACGGCCTCCCACGGCGATGGGATGTCCAGGAAGACGGCGTCTGCCACGTGGGTCACGCCGAAGCCACTGCGACACACGTCTTGGTTCCGCACGGTCACCCAGCGGCCCAGCCGGTGCTCCTGGAACTCCTCCCTGGCCCTCTCTGCCCGCTGCTGGTGGAACTCTACCGTGTGCAGGTGGCCGGTGGGCGCGATGCTGCGGATGATGGCGTGGGACACGGAGCCGCTGCCGGTGCCTGCGGGTGGGCAGTGTCAGTCCAGTGCCCCGCAGGGACCTGCGAGGGTCAGGCGCTCAGGTGACTCCCAGCATGAGCCGCTGGCCCAGACCGGGCAGCCGCCTGCTTCCGCCCACCTCCGGGGTGGCGGGGCCGGGCCCCTGGGCCACGGCACTGCACGCCCAGCCCGCTGCGCCCCCCCCGGGGTGCGGCCTGCCCTCGCCCTGTTCACCTCCCCCGCCGACGCAGGACCCAACTGGCCACGGCTCGCTCCTGCCCTGGCTGCACTCGCCTGTGGCCCCTCCCAGCCGTGCACAGCCGCTCCTCCTCAGCCCTGCCTGCCTGCCCTCCCTGGACCCCGTCCTGCAGGGCCCCGCCTAAGTGGACGTCGCCCACCCCGCCACCACCAGGCCCGGTCCCGCCGCCCCGGCCTCCCGACCTCATTCCTGCTTCTGTTCCCTCTGGCACACGCCCCCACCTCGGGGCCTGTGCACGCTCCTTGGTAGCATGCTGTCCCGGCTCTCGGGAGCTGCCTCCTCCTCAGTGTCGCCTCCTTGGCGAGGCCCCTGGCTGTGCCCGCTGGAGAAGGCACCTCTGTGTCCCCTTCAAACCAGGCCCCAGTCTAGGAGCCTCCCAGTAACCAGAGGCCCTAGGCTACCAACGCTGGCTATCTGTCCCCCACAAAGCAGGACTCAGGGCTGTTCAGGGCTGATCCATGGTTCCTACTGGGAACTTGCATCAGAGGCGTCCAGAGGCGTGCCTACTGGTCATGCCTCACACTGGGCAGAGCATGGCCCCAGGAGCCCGAGGTGCTCGCTGCAGGTGCAACCCTAGCAGGGGGTGGAGCTGGCTGGGAGGCCCCGCCCACTGCAGGCAGCCCCTGAGGCCTCAGTGCTGAGAGGGGCTTCCCAGCGGGCTCTGTCGGGTCCCACCCACTCGGGGCCTGCAGTCCTTGTAGCGTGCACTGAGAGCAGGGTCTGCGCAGGCTAGACTCCAGCTCTACGACCCAAGCCCAGACCCCGGGCTGAACGACCAGGTGCTCACAGTCATTGACGGTGGCTGAGCACCTGGTGGGGGTGACCACCTCAGAGCCTCCCTCCAGGACAGGGCTGAGCCTCGGCCTGGGACTCCAGGCAGTCGCAGTCAGACTGCTGGGACAGGCTCCTCCCTTTCTCTTCAACCGCCTGGGAAGTGATGGTCAGCACCTTGGTCAGCGCCAGGTTGGGCCAGACCCTCTATGGCTCACCACCTGGGCATGGTGATGGTCCAGCGCCATCCCTCTTGCTGGAGGTCAGCTTCCTAGCTTCTGCCCTGGTCCCCTGTGGCCAGCCACCTCAAAGACTCTGCTAAACAAGGAGAGTAGCGGATTGTGTCTCCAGGAGGGAGCCACAGGCTGTCTGGGCCTTGGGCCTGGCTTCCGCCCTCCTGCCGATTTCTCAGAACTCAGGCCGCTAGAGGACTCACCAGACTCACAGACCACAGAGCCAGGCCGGAGCTCAAGCATCATGGTGAGCAGGGCAATGTCTGTGGAGTAGAGGATCTGGGTGCGGTGCGGCAGGTTCAGCGTCCAGAGCTCCGGCGTGGGGTGCAGAACATACACCCAGCCACCGCGGCCACAGGTCACCTTGGAACCAAAGGGGCGGCCGATGAGGTCCACCGAGTGCCGCAGGACGCCATGCCGGGTCTGGGTCTGTGCCCCACGCTGCACACGCACGGCCACCATTGCACCGTGGCCCAGGGACAGGATGGCCGTGTCACCCTCTTTGATGAGCTCCTCGTACGCCACGAAGCTCATGGTGCTGCAGTCTGGTGGGTGCAGGGACCTGGGAGGTGAAGGGCAAGAGCGAATAAGGCCCGCCAGGCAGGTGCGTGTCTGGGGCGCCTGTGCAGCCCCACCCGCAGCCTGCAGCCTGCACCTGGCCTGCCCGCAGCCCGAACACCGACGGAGAGGCCGCTGCCTGTAGGCGGCAGAAGAAAGCAGTCCCAGGACGCGGAGAGCCGGCCCTGGCGCCCTCACCACCCTTCTCCCGCCCGGTCCCCCGTCGGCAGCCGCCTGAGGGGTGCAGGCATGGGCAGTGAGGTCGCCCCAAGCCGGGCCTCTCCGGCCCCGCGGGCGGGC